ATCTGCATGGATAGGCCTGGGTGTGTCCTTCTCAGCTTCCCTGGCCCCTCGATGTGGCTGGCCACCAAGTGGTATCCAGGACACGTTTCCTGAGCAGATGGCTGTCTCCTGCCTGTTATCAGGGGCTAGAGCCTCCACAGCTCTTGCAAGGGGGCAACCCCGCACAGACTCAGGTGCAGGCAGGCCCGACTCCAGCCCCAGCTCCTCCAACCCACACTGCTTGGCCTGATTAACCTTTATAAGCTTTGTTTCCATGTCTGCAAAATAAGATCAGCAATATCACTTACCTTCAAATGTCACTGTAAAACTTAGAGCTGCAGTACAGGAAACATCCGGCATTCTACCTGACTGATCAGACCTGCTCTATAAAGTGTGCCCGCCGTTGTCCTTTGTTCTGGGCATTACTACGATTCCAACCATGACCGCTGGTTCCTGTTACTGTTAATCATTATTTCAATGACGTGATTACAAACACAGAACTTGATGCCAGTTCTTCTCTTCCTCATTTTGTGATTTGCTGCCTCCTCTCTCATAGGGGATAGTAACAGCAGCTACACGATGGCTTGCTGCAGGGTCAAATTATTTACTATCCGTAAAGTGCTCAGGACAAAGCACGGCACCAGGTAGGTTCCCAATCACTGTCCCTAGTCATTTAGTTCTTGTTCTGTCACCAACAGACAGGAGATTTCAAAAATTCTCAGGATTTCATACATTATCCCTAAATATGACATGCGTTCCTTCAACAGGTGTCTATGTGTACGCAAGTCCTGGGCTTCTGAAACGATGACATATTGAAACAAATGCATGCGGAGGCTGGAGACATCATTAAAACTTTAAGGAAATAATGGAGTCTGTGCAAAAAAAAAAAAAAGCAACTTTTGTAGCTCAAGTAGCTACGTTATTTTCAGACTACAAAAATGTGTTACTTGAAATTTGGTTAGCTCATATATGATGCTCCTTCCTCACAGCTATAAGCTGAGCGCATCCTTTCAAAACTGAAAATGTCCTTATCTAATTTATTTTAAAAATGGAACATTTTGTAACAGAATCACACAGCCGTAACACAAATTGCTGAGCATCCGCCCGGCTTGTGTCAGATTCTTGGAAGGAGATAAAACCTTGAGAACAGAAGTCAGGGGAAAAAAAAAAAAAACTGACAATATTTGAGAGGGAAAAAAAGGAAATGAGAGCTCTCTGGACTTATGTTCCCCACTGTTGAGCAAAGCTCCAAAGCACTCCTTTTCAGAAAGTTGCAAAGAAAAAGATTAAACCATTTCCTCTTTTGTCTACATGGAAATGGAAAACATCCCTGCCTGGTATAACATCTGCCTGACGCCCCAGTGGTTAGATGTGCTCCCGCTCCTTCCCCGAGCTCTTCCAGCGAACAGGGCATCAAGCTTCTTGTTTCCACTGCCACCAGGACTTCACACACAAGGCACAGAAGAGCTTACTAAACTGGGGAGCCCGCCAAAGGTGCAGAAGCGCTCCGCCCTCAGGAACACCTGCAGCATGCAATCCCTCCCAGAAGGTGAAATTCTGGGGGTTCTGGGGGCAAAACAGTCTCACTCTTGTATGTGCAAAGCATAGACTCACGTAGAGAGCACGAGCAGTTATGCCGTACATCTGCGATATCAAAACTCCATGGCAGGATGGGAGTGCGGGGGGCGATTCAGAAAGTAAATGTCCCAAAAACCTCCGAATGTCCAAAAAGCAGGGGTGAGGACATGATAATGCGGGGAAGGTACAGAAGCACAAGCCCATGGAAACCAGACAGCATGGGGAGGAAGAGGCGACTATGTGCCACCTGGCCAAGCATTTGTAAGTCACCCTAGTTATTCATTCACAAGTACTTACACGGGCAGATACAGGCTGGGTGCTTGGCAAAGAGCAGTGGTCAACAGAACAGGCCTCCACCCCTGTGGAATTTACCCTCTAAACAAGAAGCCTGGGAGGAAGTAAGCAAATAACTAGGATAATTGCAAGTGGCAAAAAGCTGCAAAAAGGAGATAAAGCAGGGGTGCGGGAAGCCAGTCACAGGCGAGGTGACTCCCCACAGGTGGCCTCTGAAACAGGACCTAGAGGGAAAGAAGCCTCAGCCATCTGGGAACAGGTAAGTCTGCTCATACTTAGCTCAGGGAATGGCACGTGCAAATGTCCAAAGCACGAATGAGTTTGCTGTTTCGGAGGACCTGATAAAAGGCTTCTGTGTCTGGAGCAGAGAGTGGTGGGAAGGGCAGGCGAGAGGTCAAGTCCAAGAGGCAGGAAGGCTGGTTCATGCAGGCACCACTGGTCACTATTCATAGAGGCTGGAGTGAATCTAAATGCAATGGGAACCTATCTAAGAGTCCCAAGTTGACCTGGCACGTGATCTGACTTAAGTTTTCAGATGATCCCTTTTGCTGCCTATGGCAAGTAGATGGCCTGGGGACAAACACAAAACGGGGTGTCAGGTATAGAGTATAGCAGCAAAGTGATGTAGGAAAATGAAAGGTGTGAGCACACGTGTGCATGCAACGTCTGAATCAGTGCGGAGAGCCTCCCATGTGTGCACAGTGTTTAATAGAATCAATAAATGTTCACAGCAGAAACCATGTCACTATAATTTGGATCCATTCACCTCTTCAGTCTGAGGGGCTGACCCTCCTGCTTCATGAGAGAAAGCTGGGGAGGGACAGAATTAAGAATTCGAGAAGTCCTACCATGAATCAGATAGTTTAGATCCTTCCAAAAACCCACTGAGGTTATTATTATGCCTGATTTTACAGTTAGGATAACCAGAGCTCTGAGAGGTTAATTAATACCATCAATTTCTCATAGATAATAACATCTCATGCTTATATAGTTCTTTCCAGTTCAAAAGTGTTTTCACCCTTATCTGACCTTCATGGCAGCCCTGGGAGGGGGCCACAGCAGAGACGCTTGTCCTTGATTTACTGGGAGTCAAGGGACCTGGCCAAGCTCCTGTGATCAGCAAAGGCACCGCGCCACAGAGAGAGCAAGCTCTCCTGACAACGCGTCCAGTGGCCACCCCTCAGGCCCAGGAGTCCACGTGCTTCTCTTCAGCTCCACGTCTGGCTTCTCCACAGAGACCTGTGAACTGGGTAGCCGTCCTAGTTGCACTTTTCCCATTGGCTGCAAGGGAGCTGAAATCTGCATGGGGGCTTTTAAGGTACACATGTCAAGCCTGGCCCCTGGCGTCATTTCTGCCCCATCCTTGTTTTTCTTTGTCTTCACTCATGCTTTCATTGGTGCCAAACTCTTATGATTCAGGTACCTGCTGAGCCAACCTAAATCTTTTCTAAAATAAAGTAGGACAGCAATTTTCAAGCTTACACACGTTTTCCCCCACTGTGATTGTTTTTAGGGCAGGGGCTGTTTGAGAAGACTGGGGGTCCAGGGATTGGACCTGGGTTTGGCTCAACTGGACAACTGTGTGCAAATGAACACGAGAGGCCCCAGGAGCACCAGGAGAGCCCTGAGGGGGGAGAGAAAGGGTCTCTGATTCAGGTGGTAAAGCAACATGGCAAAGCTAACCAACAACAACGGAAGGCTTGTGATGACACGCTCACAGAGAACTGCCCTTGAGAATTTCCCAAATCTCTGAGCTCCCACCCAAATTAAATCATAATTTCATTATGATCTCTGAAAATATATGACGGCATCTCAGGGAACGTCCCCAGCTACTCTCTCACTTGCAGAGTATGTTTCTTGCAAACTGTGGACTCACAAAGTTGTCTGAACAGCTGGTCTCTCCCTGACACGGTTCATTAACGTGGGGTCAGGGGTGCAGGAAGAGCTGGGGCTGCCGAGTAATCCCAAACAAATGACAAGCTCCAACCTGTGACATTCAGCATGCCACCAGCCCTTGAAATAATGAGCCTGCGCTGCTCCCAATTAGAGCACCACATATCTTGCCGAGCGGCCACCGGCCACAGCAGGAGGAACAGCATGCTCTGGAGATGTGCTTCTTGGAGACTAAAGTCTCTTTATGGGAAGCTGGAAGGGAGTTCTTTGAAAAGATCTGGATGGAACAAAAGGGAGTCCCATGTCTCTCTACTCGAGCTTTCTTTTGAAAGAAAATCTGGCGTTTAATAAAAGCACTCTAGTGGAAAATGTCAGGAAGATCTTTTATTTATTCATTCGATACATATTTACTGGGAGCTTATTCTCCGACATTGTCAGCACTCTGTGCTGAGAAGAAATAAGACAGACATCATCCCCGTCTTCCAGGAGCCTAAAATCTAACAAGAGGCCTGACACTACACAGGGATTTCACCTGTGATTTGGAGAAGAACTGAGGGCTATAAGAAGACATAGCGTGAGAAGGAACAGACCCGGGGGGCAGGGAAGGCTCTTATGAGGAAGCGAATTTAAAACTGAGACCGGATGAATGCACAGGAGTTGGGCAATGTCAGAAGTAAGGCGGGGGGGGGGGGACTGGGGAGAGTATGAGATTGGTGCAAGCAGAAGGAATAGCACGTTCAAAGAGGCTAAGATGGAGGGAGTGGTGAGAGATGGCACCAGAGGGGTGGCAGGGACCAAGGTTTGGGGAAAGATGCTGCTCCTTACCCTGAGGGCAATGGGAAACCCTATAGGGCTTTGAGTGATAGAGAGGAATGTGTGCATGTGTGTGTGTGTATTAAAGGAATGAAGTGATGGGCTTTGCCATTTAACAAAATGGCTCATGCATCAGTATGGGCTAGGTTTTGTAGTGTAACAAACAAACCCCAAATCTTGAGGTTTTATAACAATAAATGCTTTTTTTTTTCTCCCCCACTCATACTACACGTCCACACAAATCAGCCAGTGGTTCTGCTAACCTCACTCACTCAGGGACCCAGGCTGACAGCATCTGAACTACTATATACTTTACTCCTTTCACTACTGTCTGCCTCTTCTCTTAAAAACTAGTGTATTTGTATGTCTTGTTCACTCCCTTCTCCCCAGTGCCTGGCACATAGTGGCCATTCTCCTGTATCTGTTAAATAAATTAATCTTGTTCACTCTGGTGGGTCACAGACATCTGTTGACCACGAGAGCCAGCCCCTTGCCTCTCTTCCTACTCCTAGAGCTACTCTTCTCCAGCACTCTGTGAACTGCAGCCATGGTTCATTTTTCCAGTCTCCTCTCAGATCTCTCCTCCACAGAAAAACTTCCTTGGACCACATTTGTGATGGTCAACTTTATGCATGAGGTGCCTAGATATTTGGTCAAACAGGATTCTGGGTGTGTCTATGAGGGTGGTTTTGAATGAGATTAATAATTGAATCAGCAGAATGAGTAAAGCAGATTGTCCTCCCTAATGTGGGTGGGCCTCATCCAATCAGTTGAAAGTCTGAATAGAATGAAAAGTTATCCTCACCTGTGTAAGACAGAACTCCTCCTGACTGATTGCCTTGAACTGGGAAATCGGTCTTTCCTGCATTC